ATCCTATATAATACAGGACTGTAGACTTAGACTTAGTACAATCCTATAAAATACAGGACTGTAGACTTAGACTTAGTACAATCCTATATAATACAGGACTGTAGACTTAGACTTAGTACAATCCTATATAATACAGGACTGTAGACTTAGACTTAGTACAATCCTATATAATACAGGACTGTAGACAGAGACTTAGTACAATCCTATATAATACAGGACTGTAGACTGAGACTTAGTACAATCCTATATAATACAGGACTGTAGACAGAGACTTAGTACAATCCTATATAATACAGGACTGTAGACAGAGACTTAGTACAATCCTATATAGTACAGGACTGTAGACAGAGACTTAGTACAATCCTATATAATGCAGGACTGTAGACAGAGACTTAGTACAATCCTATATAATACTGGTACCAATACTAGATAATTTCTACTCAATCCTACACCTACTGGTACCTGTCCTGAGAATTCCAAGTCAATCCTACACCTACTGGTACCTGTCCTGAGAATTCCAAGTCAATCCTACACCTACTGGTACCTGTCCTGAGAATTCCAAGTCAATCCTACACCTACTGGTACCTGTCCTGAGAATTCCTAGTCAATCCTACACCTACTGGTACCTGTCCTGAGAATTCCAAGTCAATCCTACACCTACTGGTACCTGTCCTGAGAATTCCAAGTCAATCCTACACCTACTGGTACCTTTACTAGAGAATTCCTAGTCAATCCTACACCTACTGGTACCTGTCCTGAAAATTCCAAGTCAATCCTACACCTACTGGCACCTTTACTAGAAATTTACCTCACATCTACCATTACCTAGAGACTTACCACTTGACCTATTATCATCACCAATTATGTGCATCATAACAGCAACATCTGAATTATATCAAATGGTGATTCTATAAATAATCTGGAATCAGTGTAGATATACATAGTATGACATTCCCTGTTATATATTCCAGGGAATGATCTTGCTCATCAATATTTCATATGTACACAACTGTACCAATACAATACAAAGAGAAATGAGATGAAGTCAGTAACAGTTCTAGTGTACATGATGAACCCTTACCGGTATGTTCTTTAGTGAAGACAAGCACAGTGCAGGTAAAACTTCATGTACAAATAAAGAGAAGCACAGTGCAGGTAAACCTTCATGTATAGATAAAGAGAAGCAGAGTGCAGGTTAACCTTCATGTATAGATAAAGAGAAGCACGGTGCAGGTAAACCTTCATGTATAGATAAAGAGAAGCACAGTGCAGGTAAACCTTCATGTATAGATAAAGAGAAGCACAGTGCAGGTAAACCTTCATGTATAGATGAAGAGAAGCACAGTGCAGGTAAACCTTCATGTATAGATAAAGAGAAGCACAGTGCAGGTAAAACTTCATGTATAGATAAAGAGAAGCACAGTGCAGGTAAACCTTCATGTATAGATAAAGAGAAGCACAGTGCAGGTAAACCTTCACGTATAGATAAAGAGAAGCACGGTGCAGGTAAACCTTCATGTATAGATAAAGAGAAGCACGGTGCAGGTAAACCTTCATGTATAGATAAAGAGAAGCACAGTGCAGGTAAACCTTCATGTATAGATAAAGAGAAGCACAGTGCAGGTAAACCTTCATGTATAGATGAAGAGAAGCACAGTGCAGGTAAACCTTCATGTATAGATAAAGAGAAGCACAGTGCAGGTAAACCTTCATGTATAGATAAAGAGAAGCACAGTGCAGGTAAACCTTCATGTATAGATAAAGAGAAGCACAGTGCAGGTAAACCTTCATGTATAGATAAAGAGAAGCACAGTGCAGGTAAACCTTCATGTATAGATAAAGAGAAGCACAGTGCAGGTAAACCTTCATGTATAGATAAAGAGAAGCAGAGTGCAGGTAAAACTTCATGTATAGATAAAGAGAAGCACAGTGCATGTAAACCTTCATGTATAGATAAAGAGAAGCACAGTGCAAGTAAACCTTCACTCTGTACCATGGCATATGTCCAAGTACCATACTCTATAGCAAATCACTCTGTACCATGTCATATGTCCATAACATATGTACAAAATATAAAACATGGTACATCAATATAACTGAATAAGAATTCAAAGATTAACATCCGACATTTTGATTCTGACTTTTCTTGAATTGATAACAGCTAGTAATTTATTGCAAATATTTTAATAAGTGCACTTATCTAGTGATGTTGTCTCTGTTTTTCAAACTGCATACACAGACCAAACAATTCAGAATCATTTACATAAACACCACCTCTATATACGGACATGACCAACTAAATAGTGGTGTTTAAGTGCACATGTTCTTGATAAATGATCTAGGTTTTTGAAAAAAATATAGAAATAAATGTTCTCAAGTTTTCTTTCCAATTTTTAAAACATGCAATGTAATGTTCACTGACATGATAAGTCTGAAATCTATTATTTGTATTTGACAGTTTTAACAATCCGAACAAAATACCTGGTAACTAGAACAGACAGACAACATCATGTAAATCCTTCTTAACTGATCATATTTAATGCGTAAGTCAACACCTCAGTGTAATTATTTAACAAGGTGTGCCCAAACCCTTCACATTTTCCGACATATCCAAGGCAACATCACAACACAGAGACCAACTTGACGTCTGCTGGTCTGTTTAGAAAATATCATTTCAGGTACGCATACATAAGATTAAACACAATAAAGGATCTGCACTGTTTTCAGTACAATTAGCAGGTCGGATTGAACCAATAACAATAAAATGTACATCAACATGTACTGTTATACTCTGCTCCACAGGATAATGTACGAGTTTATAGTAGAAGTATTAGCAGAACCACTAACTTAATCGGCTAATTACCTTACTTTGCAGAGTACTAGCTAGATAACAGTGCACAGTTTACAACAGTATCCTGTAAAACTGAAATTTGTAATTTGGCCTTTCTGTTTTCATGGTAACCTAAAAAAAGGTTTTAATGGATAGCTCCATTGCCAAAATGGCAATGCTAAAGTATAGTTTGTTAACTGGTAAAGTTTTCCAATCTTCTAAGTTTATTTATATTTTGAATGGTTTCAGAGCTCTGGTCCAGAAAATGCCCATACACAAATGCATGAACAAATACATCGACAGAACCTAATTTAATATGTAAGATGTTTTGCTGGTGATAATTATAGGTAAATATGCTGAAACTGAAGTGTGATAAAAGGACCTAATCCTGAACACCTTTTTAGACCAAAACCTCATATACACTATAGACCTAATCCTTTACAGCCTACCCCATATACACAATCCTGTACAACCATATACACCCTACAAATCCAATCACAAATCCCTATCTAAACCATATCCTCTACCCCTACAGAACCAATCCTATACCCCTACAGAACCAATCCTATATCCCTACAGAACCAACCCTATACCGCCTACAGAACCAACCCTATACCCCTACCCATACAGAACCAACCCTATATCCCTACAGAACCAACCCTATACCCCTACAGAACCAACCCTATACCCCTACAGAACCAACCCTGTACCCCTACAGAACCAACCCTATACCCATACAGAACCAACCCTATACCCCTACCCATACAGAACCAACCCTATACCCCTACCCATACAGAGCCAACCCTTTATCCCTGCAGAACCAACCCTATACCCCTATCCCTACAGAACCAACTCTATACCCCTACAGAACCAACCCTATACCCTTACAGAACCAACCCTATACCCCTACCCATACAGAGCCAACCCTATACCCCTATCCCTACAGAACCAACTCTATACCCCTACAGAACCAACCCTATATCCCTTTATATCCCTAAATCATATACCCCCTATAGAATCGGTTCTAAACCCCTATAACTCATATCCCATTCTCCCTATACACCTAATCATATATACCATATACCCTCTCTACAGCCAATGCTATATGCCCATATAGACCCCATCATGTACCCCTATCCTAAACTCCCTATTTACTTAATACTACATACCCCTATATTTCAAGAAGTAACAATAGTCATAATATGATAATTCATATCAATAACATCCAACACAATATACTCCATAACAGAGAAATTTCCTGGGTTGGATTAGTTCTATCCATAACATTTTCATATGAATATAGAATGTATACAATTCATATCAAAACATATAATAGGGACAGTTTACACATTGTTGAGAGTTTGCATAGATCTTTAAAAAAAGTAATTTATCAAATGACTCAACAAACTCAATGGGTGTATATATAATTTACTGATAGCCTGTACTTAGTTGTAAGGCTGTAACCAAAACACAACACCTAGACAGAACTACAGCTGTCCATAGGTATTTCAAAGCATAACCTCCTCACTCCCAATATCATAAAAGCTGATTATTACATACTCTCTTCTGCTGTTTCTTTAACTACATCTTGCTCAAGCTATAACATTAGATTCACTATGATAATTAAATAATATCTTAAACGACTACAATGCTAACTTTATCCATATACTTATAGACCAAATGTTTTGTATAAAATTCATCTAATTGTTGAAAACTCTAAAGAATGTAACATTTGATCATAAGAATGTTTTGTTCATAAGAACAAATCTAATTCATTGCTGGTCAAACAATTAAACCAGACATGAAAGCACTTTCTAAAGGAGGGGATAAGTGCTATCTTTGGGACAAAATGATGGATTTCATTTAATCAAAGAATGTCCCATAGGTATCTGTATAAAAGGTAAGAAAACACACGGAGTACACCATGCTGTATTTTTAGCTTCCATTTCACAAGTCTGTCTTATCTTATTGTACTGGCCTAAAAGATTAAAACAGCTAATCCCCTAATGTGTGGAGTATGAAGTGGCTTTATGTGCAGTCAGAATATCCAGTTGATCGCCCGTTATTGATTCTTTTACTATTTTGTATTGCAACAACTATACCATTACTACATTCCCTGTTTAATGACTTTTAATATCCCCACTAAAGCATTTTCTGATTGTAAACCTACCAAATTTTCTGACTCAATGCGACGCTGATCCCTCTTCCTGTTCACTGCAGAGGGTGTCAGTCTTTGAACAAATGGCTCTGCTGCTACCCGTTGAGGTTGTTTCTTCTTTGGACCCACATGCTTCATAATTTCTTTCAAGAGTCTCTGGTTTTCTTTCTCTATGGTTTTAGCACGATCTTGATCATATGTAAAGTTTCCATGTTCAGGTGTTTGCCGAGCCTTGGGAGGTGCAAACATTACCCTGCGTGAGTTTATTTTTAGTCTCTCTCGTCTTTGTTGCTCTCGTTCTATTTCCTGAACAGCATCCATGAGAACACTGAGATCCAACTGCTTATTTTCTAGTTTTATATTAGGTACATCATCATATTGCACATTATCATGTCCATTATGTGAGCGAGGGGAGTGTTTAGGTGATGGCAATGGGGAAACGTCAGTCATTTCACTATCTGAACCAGACTTTGATCTTTCACGGAATAAACGCTCATTGTTTCCTTGACTTCTCGGTTTTGAACTCTTAGGTCTGGGTCTGTTGGATACACGATCATCCTCATCCTCCACATCAGACCTTTGTGGATGTATTTCTACCTTGTGAATTCCACCGGATGACCATGCCTCCTTGGATGAATCCGTCTCATGTACAGGTGTTTTGTGTACCTGTAAATCCGAAGGTCTGTTAGATTTAGACTCTTTTGATTCGTTCCTCTGCCTGAATCTCTCTCGCTCTGTTTCTATAATGTCCTCCTCATCATCTGTCGATTCGTCTGAATAAGCACTGGAGCTGTCCGTAAAGCTGTCGTCGCTGTAAGTCTCTCCCTTTACCACCACTGCCGGGCTCGATCTGTCGTTCTTCACTCGTTCTGCACTTTTGTAACTAACAACAGAATCTGTCTCGATATCACTCGTGTCACTGTCACTCGAATGAGACGAATCAGAATTTCCATGTGATCGCCTGCTGTTCCTTGCCTTATTCTTTTGTGCACGAAAAACGTCATGTTTGGGTGGTTTTGGTGGTTCTTTGCCAGGTTTACCTGTTGCCTTTCCTGGCTTTGTGTTCTCTTGAATGTGATTATCCTCGTTCCGTGGCGTATCAAAGAAATCAAACACATCGGCAGTGAAGTCCGTCACCCCACCAATAACAGCCATTATGCTTACCTTCGGAATTTCCAGCTGATTTACATTCTTACCATGTCAAAACAACATGTCAACCTCTTGTTTGATAGCAACTGATGACGTCACTTCCTCCAAGTCTCGCGTGAAATTTAGAGTTTGGAACTCTCCCGTGTTTACAGAAAAGACTGGCGGTAAAATACGAGTAAATATTTTGTAACCTTCGGTAACACAACTCTTTACGGTAACGTATTTTCTTGTCATATTCGACGTTTTAAAAGAAAAAACATACAATTTATTTTATACAATGATTGATTGAAGCATATGATCGTCGCAGCCTTGAGGCAAGCTAAGAACTATGGGCGCTGGGGGAATGATAGCGCTCTCTTTTGAGGTGTTAAGTAATCAATCAACGAAATGCTGTTTAATATATCATTGACGCATTAGTTTCGGATCCTTTGAAAACCATTTCACGCTAGTTACGGTATGTCAGTGAACTGCCACCAAACACATTCATAAATAAATTCAAATATGGTCATATTATAAAATTTATTTTTAAAAACTGGTTGGTGAAACACCAGTATTTTCATGAAAAACATCCACAAATCTGACCTCAAATTCACTCACCTGAAATGATTGGCATGTGTATCGGACATTAGAATGCACCTCCGTTTCTGATGACATCGATAAATTCCAGATACGCTTAATATAGCATAAAGTGACCCAGAAGTACATGTGTATTAATAAAATCGTCATTAAAACGGAAATTACCTCCTGTTACAGAAAAATTCAAAATAAGTAATGGAGCGAAAATGGTGTATATCTGTGTTGATGTGTGCACCTTTTCTGAGTTTAGTCTTTTAGTTTCAAGATTTTATTTTTTAGTTTTTAAGTTACATTTCCAATATAAGACGTGCATGTTTGGACTTCAGTAGCCAAAAAATTGCAAGAAGGCATGGCCTATCATTCATGACAGATTTTTATTCATTTGGCAAATGACAACACAACACTAGCATCCAAGGATGGATTGATTGGTTATTTATTATGTCTGGGAGTATGTTTGACATGTGAAAATGTGTATGAAGAATATTAACAGAATATTTTATGGTCGATGGTTTCAATCACTGTTCAATCTGGAGGTGTGAAATGTTACAACAACCAAAATTATCCTGGTGTGAGGTAACAGAAGTCAATAGTACATGTGATATGCCTTGACAAAATGACCATTCAGAAATACATAATGGTCCAGAACCGATGTCCAGACGATGTTGAAATAATTTGATATGCTAGTGTAGTGTATAGACATTTTCAGAAGAAACAATGAAATCCTTTTCATATTTCAGACTGAAAAAAATTGAGACATAAATGATGTTCAGATAGATAGAAACTTGTACATGTGATTAAGTTGATTCCAGTTAAGACTTTGGACAATAATCTTCACCGGACTGAAAAATAGAAATGAAATAATATATTCCTAAAATTTGTCTACTTTTTTTTTGAAGCACTTAATATTTGGGATGGATATCACAGATTCTGGTATCTTGTCCCATACATATGCTAACCTCTCGGTGAAAGAGTTCCTTCTTTGTGTTGAAATTACTTGTTAAGCATTTTTCCAGGGGCACTATGTGACCTAATACGGGCCCATTCCCTATCAGATCTAATTCAAAATGTGGCAAAATTCCCAGAACATATAGTTCGCTCCTAAAAAAATATTTTGTAATTTATAATTTTGATATTATTGCATTGCATGTATGATATTGTCAGACACAACTTGTAAATTTAAACGTTGAAATTCTAAATCACAATCAAATGTTTTGAACAGGGATTATTTTTCCTGGGTTAGACAAGTATTGTCTTATTTTATGCTTTCAATATTAACTTGATGAACTATAATCACTTTGTTGCTAGGTATTGGTGTTTATTGTCATTGATGGAACTAATGCTGAACACAGTAGCCATTTTCATAGATCTACAAAAATGTGATAGTGTATATGTCTTTCAGTTATCCATGTTTTTTTCTTGTAGACATTGCGTGTTAACAATTGATGTAAGATGTCTGGTGGTAGTGATGAACAAGATGAGTATGTGGTTCAGCAGAAGGTCAGCTATCGTATGTATGAACAAGAACAGAAAGTGTTGCTGCGGTGCCGCTATCCATTTCTGTCCCCTGTCCAGATCAGTTGTAAGGTTAAGGATCGCTGGAATAGATTGAGGCAGGATGCAAAAAAGTTCTACACAAAGTCGGTCCTTGTCAAAGCTCCAAACAAAGATCAGACCAATACAACTTCCAAATCAAAGGGTAAGAACTACAAAGTCAGAAGCAAGCTTGATGTTGATGAAGGAGAAACCTGTGATCCAAGTGCTTACCAAACTGATTCAGTGCCTCACCCGAGGAGCATTTTGACTTTGCCTGTTTCAAGGAGATTACAGAAAGATCATGATTCTATATACACAAGTGACTTCTACAGTTCTTCAGTGGAATCACCCAACAGTGACTCCGGGGAGAAGGCATTTTGCCCCAAGTTGTTTGAAAGTCCAGAGTCTCCACCTCATCACCAGTTTGATATATTCACACAGAAGAGCTACACCAAAAGCAAGCTGCCTCTCAGAGTTCCAGTAATTATTCAGAAGAATCATTCTACTCTGGGCATCCTTAAAGGAAGCAGGTATAACAGCTAATATTCATACCATCACTTTTGAAGTTCTAACTGACCATCACTTTTTAAAGTTCCAACTGACCATCTCTTTTGAAGTTCTAACTTTGAAGACAACTCATTCAATTTTCACCAAATTTATTTTATTTTCCATGTTTTCTTGTATATTTCCCATTGCACCAGGCAGGAAAATGAAAGCAAATGGATCTTATTTTGCTTGAAAAAAAAATTGATTAGGTTTTATTTTTTTTTTTGGAGCTTTTGTGGGCAGATAATGGACCTCATTTCCAATTGAACTTAGCAGTAATTCATTTAAGACAAACTCCCAATTTTTGAAATTTACTACTGAAAATTTCTTTTCCAATTCATCAATTTTCTTTCCAAATGCTATGAACATAGATAGACCACAATGAAATGAAATTCTGCGGAGGCCATGCATTTTAAAATCATAACTCTAAGAAAAGTGCATCCATGCACATCCTTTAGTAAAATACATTAAGATAATGAAGTTATCAATAAGAGAGTAAAACCTTGATATATTTGTCAAAAGTAGTGAGGTCGAGAAAGTACTTCTCAGAGGCTTGAAAATTGAACTGACTTATTCATAATGGTCTTCACATGTACCCTAAAATGAAAAAAGATAAATGTACATTATATTGTTCCATTGTTATCGTTTGTTCACAATCATCTGATAGGGATGAAGTTATAAACTAAGGTATTTTATTTGATTCCATCAAAGACCAAAACATTATTAAAACAGATCATGTAATCTACATTTCTCTGTTGTTATCAACACAACAATGATGATGCAATATTAAAATTGTAGGACTGACAACACCCCAAAAGCAAAAGCTGTAAAAGGGAGAGTAAGCTTCTCTACAGACAAAAATGGAAACTTACAGAAGTCAGGGGATGTCATTGCTACAGATAACTGTAACCAAGACGACGACTCTGAAGACGAGTACAACGCAGTGCTTATCAGACGCACTGATGACTCTTACAACTTCGATGATATTGACCAACACAATATGTTTGTGGAGGAAGAAAACAAACTAAGGGAGGTAAACATCCATCAGGACAAAGACTTCAATGAGAAGATAAAAGCAAGTGATAGAGAGATGCTGAAGAATGATAAAAAATATGGTTTGAATGTATCTAATTATGCACTTGAAGGAAAAGAAAAAGAAAAAATTCAAAAGGAAAGTTTGAAAAAAAAGGCAGAAGGCAAAAATATGACACAATCAAATTCAGGAAATATGAGAGGAAAGAAAAGGAAAGGTGGTTTGGGAGTGTTTTGTTCACAAAAGCGTGGTGAGAAAAAAGTCGTTGATGGTAATGTGATTGGGAATGAAGAAAATACATCTGGACAAACAAAAGCAAAGAGACAGTCCAGGAGGGCAGTCAAAGAGAATTTCACTGGGGTAAATGTAAACAGTATGTCAAAAAACAGCATATACATGAATAGTCTGTCAAAGGACATTGCTAATGGAAACAGCCAATCAAATGACAGTGCTAATGGTAACAGCCAATCAAATGACAGCGCTAATTGGAACAGCCAATCAAATGAAAGTGCTAATGGTAACTGTCAATTAAATGACAGTGCTAATGGTAACAGCCAATCAAATGACAGTGCTAATTGGAACAGCCAATCAAATGAAAGCTCATTTCAGGACAGGAAGTCTCCAATACAGAAATCAATGAAAACAAGGTCTTCTTTGAGAACTGAAGAAAAGTCAGCAGCAAGGGAAGTGCAGTCTCTTTCAGTCCCCAAGAAAGAGGTGAGTTCAGAATTGAAACCTAGCTTTGGTACCAAAACAAGAGATTATGACTTAACACCTGAACAGGGAGGGGAGACAACATATATCACACCACAGATGGATGATGATGTCTACACACACAACCTTCATGAGGCATCAAAAGTACCACGGAAGTCGCGACGATCATCACAGTGGAAGGAGACAAAGTCATCAGATATAACCATTGGTGAATCAAATTCACCAAATAAAAGGAAGCAAAGATCGTTTAGTAGAAGACTTAATGGGGGAGAAAAGTCAAACACAGAGATCAAAATATCACTAGATACTTTTGATGAATCAGAATGTGAAAGGAATGATGCAAAGGTGTCATGTATATTGGTCGATGCCTCCGGGGATGCCAAAATACCTGGGTCGCCACCATTAGGCCAGAGAATATTGCGGAGCCAGACAAAACTGATAACTGAACCTGCTGAAGAAAATTATCAAACATCTGAAAATTACAGCAATTACAAAGTTATCGTAAAACCAGGTGAGCTCTTTAGTTCTGACTCCTGCACGATAATGGATGAAGAATATGATATGGAAGACTCCTCAGATGATGAGACTGAATCAGAATTTATTGGTCAGTCAGATTCCAGTAAAGCATTAGTGCAGGCATTACTGAAGATGAAGCAGACAGTGGGAGACGACAATTTGGATGAAAGGTCATCTCCCAAGTTGTTATCGCCAGCTCTGTCTGGTATCAGTCAGGTGGGTATTACTGGTTTAGCCACCTTATTTTCACTTGTTAAGTAGTTATCAAGCTCTTTTGAAGGATGGACATGTTCAAGTGAAGACTTTAGCCAAACATCATCAGGAAATCACTTTGCTTTTTGTCAAGAGTCCACTGTCAACCTGAAACAAACAAGTCCTGTCATTTTTTTTTTCCAAGAACATCTAAATATTTCTCTAATATGTGCCTCCACTAGAATGCGAACCTGGGTGCTCTGGTTTACTAATGGCAATGCACTGCTCTGCCTGAAAAACTTCTTTAGCTCGAACAGTTAAGCATCAGACTAGAAAGCCAGACAGTTAGTGTTCAAATCCTGAATTCTGTTACACATGCTTGTCCTTTGAACTTTGACTTTGATCAGATAAGGATAGAAATAAAAAGTGTCTATTAAATGTTCAAATATCATCTCCTAACTGACTGACAATACTTTTAGAGATTGCAGAGGGGTAATTCTACATAGTTCCTGATAATTTGTTTTTATTAAATGTGTCTGTACTATCAGTTGATAGTGACTGTTCTGACTAGGATTTAGTTGCTCTGAATATTTTGTTTCAGTTGTCAAGTGTATCCTCTGATTCCTCTGCTACAAATTCTCAGTCAACAGTACCGATGTCTATAGACAAGGTAGGTACTGTCAGTACACAGGGGTCTGTATCTATAGACAAGGTAGGTACTGTCAGTACACAGGGGTCTGTATCTATAGACAAGGTAGGTACTGTCAGTACACAGGGGTCTGTATAGACAAGGTAGGTACTGTCAGTACACAGGGGTCTGTATCTATAGACAAGGTAGGTACTGTCAGTAGACAGGAGCCTGTATCTATAGACAAGGTAGGTACTGTCAGTACACAGGGGTCTGTATAGACAAGGTAAGTACTGTCAGTACACAGGGGTCTGTATCTATAGACAAGGTAGATACTGTCAGTACACAGGAGTCTGTATCTATAGACAAGGTAGGTACTGTCAGTAGACAGGAGCCTGTATCTATAGACAAGGTAGGTACTGTCAGTACACAGGGGTCTGTATCTATAGACAAGGTAGGTACTGTCAGTACACAGGGGTCTGTATAGACAAGGTAGGTACTGTCAGTACAAAGGGGTCTGTATCTATAGACAAGGTAGGTACTGTCAGTAGACAGGAGCCTGTATCTATAGACAAGGTAGATACTGTCAGTACACAGGAGTCTGTTTCTGTAGACAAATTTCCTGGATTGTAATGAAGATCTGTTGATGGAGGTTGGTTTGAACTACAATCAAATCTGCTGTTATTGGCCTTTTTTCTGCTTCCTTGTTGGCCTTTATGGACAAGTTTGACTTAATTTTAAATCCCCCAGTTTTTTTTGTGTTTTGTTTTTTTTCAAATAACATTGTATTTATGGAATCTGAGACCTATAAATGATTTTTTGCCTGCCAAGTCTAGATTTTCAGTAACATACAAAACCAGAATAATGATTTGTTTAAATTGCTTTAACAGGGAGCAACACAAGGACTGTGTGAGATGTTTGGGGATATGACTCCACCAGATAAACAGAAACCTCAACACTCTAGAAGGTAAGAGTTGACTTTTAAAGAAACAGTTGTTAGACCTTTTATTTAATGCTGTTGAGAATTACTTTTACTTGTCACACAGTACCAAAACATTACCTTTGAATTAAAGTTTGGTTGTGAACTTCATGTTTGACAACAATTTCGATGAACAACAATATACTAGTATATGACAGACGATATGTATATAAGCACATCATTTGTTTTTGGAAAATTTTGGTTGCCAAAATGACAATGTCACTACACAGAGATTTTCATAAAAAGGGCCATAACTCCTTTCATCAATATTATCAATATTATTTATTTTGATAATCATTGTAACATAGCCTTTAAATTGGCTTATAAAAATTGGTTATTCCTGATAGTTTCCATGGAAAAAAATAAAGGTTTCTGATTGTCCAAAACATTGCTACATATTCACCTAAATATTTATACATCAGGGTTGTGGGGATGACAAATACAGTGGTTCATTGATAAATGATTGGAGAACTTGCATTTTGGTGTGTTAATTTTGAAAGGAAAGAGGACAGGTGGATGGTGATAGAATATCCAAAAGGTATTATTTTAGTCTAAATTTGAATACTAAGAATAAAGAATTCCTTTACTTTTAAATCATAGCAGTTAAAAAAAAATCATCAATAAGTTTAATTTGTGCACAAGAAGTTCTGTTTAAAAATAATTTCTTCAAAGCCTTTTGGATATTTAATTTTGCCGAGATGGTTTTGGTATAAAAAGTCTGAAGTCTGATGCAAACTGCTCTGTCTGTTGCCATTTTGACCGTGCAGTAAATTACTTAACATTTCTGTATAGCTCTATAGCATGTAAATGTCTGGAAGTCCCTGTAGTTGAAAACAACCTTGTCTGGCAGAACATGAATAAGAGAAAATGTTGGTTTATGAACTAACACAAAAGGCTGCTAGCATTCATATCGTTAGAAGCTGAAACTGAAGTCTTTTTTAAAGTGTATGTGTACAATATAGTTGTAATAACAATGTTACTCCAATTTCAGGATGTTGGCAAGTTCTCACAAAGAATCAAGCAGTAATTTTGCTCAACTATTCAGAACCAAAGATATTTTCTGCTAAATGCTCAAGGATCCATATATTTTCAACTGAATGTTCAAGATCCAAATCATCAACTGAATGTTCAAGAACGAAATCATCCACTGAACGTTCAAGATCCGAACCATCCACTGAATGTTCAAGATCCCAGCCATCCACTGGATGTTCAAGATCCAAATCATCCACTGAACGTTCAGGTGATATATACTGTGTTTACTCGTATCAATGAAAATAAGTGACTACTGAAATTAATGAGCGATTTTATATAAGGAATTAAGATATACAATATCATTTCAGTTATTGAAAATCTATTACTATCAAGATACAAGGAGAGGGGAAGTGTGTTAAGACTTATATTAAAGTTCAAACTGGGCTTGAAATTTTGTAGACTATGTATTTACAAATATTAAAGTTGAATGAAATTATAAGTTAATAATTTCAGTGCTTTTATTATTCTTTAGTTGATTCTCTTTTGATTAATTTTTTTTCTTAATATTTCCATTTGATCTTGAAATTTATGATTTGTTGTCTTGTTACATGTATGTAAGCACCAGCTATCAAATGAAGTCTAGTCATCATGTTCAAGTTTACTTTTTATTCAGTACGCAAGGTTATGTTGTCGATAATATAAAATATGTTGTCATTGAAGCGTTTATTGTTACTATTTGTTTTTATTGTTTTAAGTTACACTTATATGTAAATGAAGATGTGCTGTAGTCATTCACTTACCATCTTAATTGATCCAAGTAGTTCAATTTCAATTACATTTTATAATCAGAGTTTAACTAGTGTTCAAGTAAAGGAAACAGTTTGTGTTAGATTCTTTGTCAGATGTTAAAATAAAGTTTGAGAAATACTACCACTGAGTTATGTGGTCATTACATTTCACCAAGGTACAAATATGTTAGTAAACCACTAATTTCATATGTGGATTCCCCATAGTCCCTAGTAGTGAATATTTCATTTTTGAAAGGATCAGATGGAGGACACAAGAAGGGAAAATTTCCCACTAATAAAGATAAGATGATAGGTGTTGATACTGAGGTACTGTTTTAATCTATGTTAATTGTTAAAATTTGAATAGCTGACAGGTTGATAGGTCACTATGGCTAAAGCACAAGATTTTGATTACCTTAAAACTGACCACTGTCTTAGTTCCAGGTTAATTTAAAAGTGACCACTATCTTAGGTCCAGGTTAACTTAGAAGTGACCACTGTCTTAGGTCCAGGTTAACTTAAAAGTGACCACTATCTTAGGTCCAGGTTAATTTAGAACTGACCACTGTCTTAGGTCCAGGTTAACTTACAACTGATCACTGTCTTAGGTCTAGGTTAACCTAGAAGTGACCACTTGTCTTAGGTCCGGGTTAACTTAAAACTGACCACTGTCTTAGGTCCAGGTTAACTTAAAACTGACCACTGTCTTAGGTCCAGTTTAACTTTTCTGTTTCACCACATCTTGATTTAAAGAAGTTAACAAAATTGTTCATCCACCAAAAAGATATTTTATTACACATATCGCATAAAATGGACCTATACAAATATTGAACAAAAAAATATGTTTCACCTCATTCTCTTGCTCAAGCAACTTCAATATACACTTCCTCTACACACTTTCACACATCTTTTTACTAATTAACAATAGATCATAATGTATTACCTTATGGCGCGACAGACTTCATCCTTAAACTATACAGAGAATATTAATTGACCAACTAAACCTTTAACTATTTGTGGCACCAAGGATCTTCAAACACAGTTACTGATTAAATGATTTTTGTACCATTATGAGGTTGCTACATTTTTCTCAGTGGTTCAGACAGCATTGGTAATATTCTAGTCCCCAAAATAGCCTATGCTTACCTTATTGAGACTTGAGTGAAAAATGACATATATTTGATTCCATGATCCAGAGTGAATATAATACACTAGTGTACTGCTTCTGATCTACTATTTGTGATGTCCAAAATCTGACATCATAAATGACATGTTTTAAATTATAAATAAAATGCAATGAAATCTGCTTTTGTTTAGATTAAATGATGTATACATAAGGAACTCTGCCAAACTATAACATGTTTGTCCATTTGTGTATCTATATTTTATCTGATGTTCTTGATCAAAGCCCACACAGCTAAAACACTGAAGTAGAATTAATATTGTCCACTAACACACTGGTGATAATCTCTTTGTTACGTGGGGGGTTTAGTTGTCCCAAAACCAGAGAATCCCATCACAGCAGCCATGTCTGGATCAACATTAATATTCAGTCCTACAGTGGAGTCATCAGCTTTCCTCTTCCTCTCCTTTCTCTTCTCCTTCCTGTATGCTTTCTGTTTCTCTTCCTGAAACATTAAAAACAAAAAATTCTCATGAGATAAAAATATCAAAAATTTCACAGAAAAACTGACACCACTTTAAAACCTGTTCACAATCTTAAAATCTTCCATCGCACACACAGATATCTTTTTTGATTTACAATATATCATCAGTATTATTGATCTTCAAACATTTTTCTTCTTATCTCCCTTGCCTGCTACATTTTGTATCTTGAATTATTCCTATGGCCTACAAGGTATTTCTCAATGTTTTTTTTCTGTTTTCTTACCATGCACTTGACTTTACAGGTTATTCTGTGAACGAGTAATACCAGTCATACTGTCATTTCTACTTTGGTCGTACATAAAACATCTATGTCATGTGATCCATCAATATTGTGTGACTACAAACCTCTTCTTTTAGTTCCTTCATCCTTTCTTCAAAGTCATATTCCTTCTTTTTCTCTTCCTGTTTTTTCACATTCATTTCAAACCTTTTCTTCACCTGATCTAAAGATGATCTCTCAATCTTCATGGACATGCCTAAATTTCTCTGATCTGAAAGACAAAATGTTCTCAATCAGCACTGTAAACTGGGTGGTTGGGTGGTAAAGTGGTGATAAGCTTGTCATTCACTTAGGGTCAGCTGCCGAACTCTTCCTGCTTTCAATCTTTCAATCTTCCCAAAAAGAGCAATTAACATCAGCTGACACTTCACATCAATATATATATATACATTACTGTTTTGGTGTAGTACTTACGTTTTTTGCCATTGATGTGATCCAGAAAATTAATGGAATCTTTTACCACACAATCACACACATTGCAGTAGTACCTACAAGAGATCAAAAGTTTTGTATAGAAATTCATAAAACATGGCATACATGATAAATCTATGTTTTTTGAAACATGCTTCAAAACTGCAAATATATTTGTATCAGCAGTAACTGTATATATCGGTCAATGTTTCCTTAGCAACTGGAAATTTCATAAACAGCGTCAAAAATACCAAAAGACACATCCTTCAGCATGGCTTATATAATGAAAGCTTAAGAGCAATTAAGAAATGGTTGATGAGATAAGTTCCAAAAATAGAAATTTACATTAAAATACACAAAATAACAACAAAATGTAAAAATTTTGGTTACCATTGCAATGATGTTGAGCAAAGTAAAATTCTTGAATAAAGCTTAAAAAATGTTCAATTCATTTCATAATTTTCATTTAAAAACAGATTTGTATGAAAGTGTATACTACTATTAAATGGAGATCACTGATGACGATTTCTGACTGTGACAGTAATTTCACAGTTATCTAATATGATAAAACCTGATAACAAATAGAAGAGAGACTACTCTCATGATTTCACATGATAATTCATACTAATTTGTTTAGCCACAGTAATGCTACTAATCATCATCCATCTCAGCTGATTTTTATCTAAACATTTCTGTCGCTCACCCTCCTTGCTGGGAGGCTGGAGTTGTCTTTGTGATCACCTGAGACTTTCCAAGTTTTGAATCAAGATCAACCTGAAACAGAAGAAAATACATGATTCCATCCAAAGACTTGTGTCATCAATATATAATATAAATTATGTGGATCTCAACCACAGTAGTTCTCTTCAATACAAGAAATATAAATGTGTATAGAATATATAAGGGCCTATGTCAAACATTTGAAGTGGATTATTTCAGGAATTTCAGGAATTTCAGGATGCAGATGAGGGTATGTATCAAAGACTTCTTTAGGGTGTGTCATATATATTATTTGACATGATCACATGCCAATAAAATACAAAAATAATAGGATTTCGGCACAAGTATAAGTAGGACACTATGGGGAATAATGACTATTTCCAGAACACTACATCAGTATGACCGAGTAACAATAAAGTTGTACACAAGTTACTGCAAACCTATACTAAATACCTACCTTGTACTCACGAGGCTGCAGAAGTTCTCTTTTCACTGGTGGCTCCTTGAGTTCCTTCTCAAGTAAAGCCATCTGCTCCGCCTCCAGCTTCTCCTTGGCTATCTTCTCGTATTCGTCTTTGTCCCATTTTCTCCTGAAGTCTGTCACACTTTTCTGAAGTTTTATAAATATACAAATAAGTCCATATATATATGTGATTGTTAAAGGGCAAACAATCAAAATCAATTCTTAAGTAAGGAATATTAACATATGTCACATAATTTGAAAACAATAATACAACTCATATGTAGCTAATATACAAATAACAAAACTGAAAATATTTTGTTTTACAGATTCAGCAAAGCAAACGTTTTGAAGCGAGATGTAGATAAATTCGGATTTTTCTTGTTCGCACATTCAAATAGGATCCGTCCAAAGGCATTTCTTACAACATAGAAGGATTCTTGTCTCGAAGTATGACATCTAACCAATAATACATTATCCATAACACACGGATTTATGAAGATCCGGAGTGATTCTCTCGCTGTTGTTTTCTGTTGTCTTTGTTTATCATGTAACTCGCACTGCCACTGGATCTAAGTCACAATCTTAGGTCTACTGTATCACTATGTGATAAACATGTATTTTAACTGTCATCTTTTTGACATCAACACATATCTTATGACAAATAGTTCGGCTTGTAGCCTTAAACAATTATTGAACTTGTGTTTAATATTGAATGTCTTATGAGACGGTAACAAACCTCATACACGCCAGCCATCTTGATTTTATTATTTTACCTAACACGAGAATCAAATTTTGATAGGCGAACCGAACAAGTTCGAGCTACATGTTACAGCATTAATAAAGTCCTATCGTCGGAGAGAAGCCAGTGACTATTTCTTACCAATAAAGACGTATAATTTATCCATATGATATTTCTGCTTGTATTTTAGTAATTTCGATTTATAACGATATCGAAAACTATACAATGTAATCTGACTTACTTGTTTTGAGTACTGTTAATTAATAACTCTTCTGCATCAATAAAATGTTTTCATGGACCATACAACGTAAAAGGTACAACAAGCAGTTAAGTTACGTTAAGAAAATATATTTCGCTGACAAAGTTGACGTGGCCTGATTAAAACAGACGGTATGTGAACGGTTCTGACTAATATTTCAGAACTATATAAACACATTCGGTGTTTTAATGTCATAAATTCGATTTCAATTTCACCTGTAGCTAGTGCATTCATATTGGGGAGAGAAGCAACTGACAGATCGTTAGAAGCTGGTCAGGTACCGAGATCAAATCTCAATGTTTTTTTTCTTTCTACGCATTGCATTACTTATACATATGGAATGTTTGTTTAAACCATTAGAATAGTAAGAACTTTCAATTTCATTTTAAATTTGATTGAGATGACCCCGAATACATCGGTCATTGATAGAATGATCTGTATTTCATAAAAAATAAAATTTAAAAAAAAACAGGTCTGATTTTGTTTTCAAATACAGCTTACATTCACCAGGTACTGGGGCACTGACAATTTTTTTATCATTTGTATGTAAATAGGACATATTTAAAATCTTTTTCGGTGTTGAGAAGCTTAGAAAGTTAAGGTCAATTTTTCTAAAAAAAAGTATCTAAAACAAAATAAAGGATCTCAGAGGTGTGTAAGTTATTAATGCTTAGAAATGGATTTAAAATGTAGTTTCTGTTCGTATTAAAAGTTTCAAAACATGCAAGGAAAGGGACATTATTACAATTTGTATCGTTTATATATAGACATGTAACAAACCATTTTGTGATAAATGTACACTGTCACATGCCAATTTTTTAATATGTACAATAGCCATGGACAGGAGCAGGAATATATATACCTGTAAACCCCATGTCGTAAATCCTACAAAAAGAAAATTAGCTGCAATAATTTTCTCTGGTATACTTTTGATTTTTTTTTCAGACTGCAAGCATGTCAGATTCTGAGGATGAGTTTGCAAGTGCAGATGAAGGCGATGGTTTGCCAAAAGAGAAAAGTTCACATCCAGAAACTAAAGCAACAAAAACTAATAAATCTGATGGAAACATTTCTGGTAAAAGTGCTACAGTGACAAGTACTTCAAAAACAAGTAAAACAGAAGAAAAAGAAAGCAAAAAAGGTGCAAGCAGTAAAGATTCTCAGAAGAAAATTCCACAGAAAAATGTAAATAAAGATAAGCCTGGTAATGGAAAAAAGGAAACAGCAAAATCCACAGATAAAAAGGCAAAAACAAATACTGCTAATAAATCTCAGGCTCCAAAGTTGGGGTCAGGTTTACCTTCCAAGGGAAAAACTAAACAATCAGGTGATTCTTCTGAATCATTAAGTCCAGTTACGGGTGATCATAAAAAACAAGTGGACATTGAAAGGGATAAACATGAGGATAAACCAGATATTACTGAGTCAAAGCCTCAAACATCAGCACAGCTCACAAAAGCAGAGGAGAAAAATTCACAAGGGGAAACAACTACTCATACTGCAGAAGAGATGACTACCCAAAGGTCAAGGGAAACAACTCCCCAGAAAGATACAAGAAAGAATGTAGATAATGTTCCTTCCAAACATTCAGAGGAATTAAGTGCACAGAAGAAAGTTGAAGAGAAAAAACAAGTGTGTATTATTAAAAGATTAACTTGAATGATTTTTATCATTATGTAATGATAACAAACAGAGACCTGGAGTATATTTTAAATAGCACACCCCAGATTCTTGTGGCATGGTTCCCTTAGCCTTACAAAATAATTCTTGTTGATACTTTTAATTTTAACTTTTGGTTTAATCTACATTTATTCAATAAAAGACTTGATCACTTTCTGTAACAGCCATCTTCTTCTAGCCAGTCATATCCAGCTTTTCTAAAAATAGAACTTTTTTAATGTTATGAAATGATGACATACATTGATTGCTGGTAGCTTGTTTCAAACATAATTAAATCTTTTTCCTGTGAATGTGATGTCTGTATTACTTCCATTAAGATGATTATATACAAGAGATATGTATTACTAATAAAACTCTTTAAATCTAAAGGAAAATTACTGAACATTTAATTTCTATGGAAACCAGTAGAACACTGTGTGCACATTAACATTATTGTAAATCACTTTGATTTTGCAAATGCTTTATTTCACAAAACCACCTCTGCAGACATATTCATGAAAACATGATTTCGGGAATGCTGGTCTAGAAATGACTTTGAATTTACGAATGATAAGCTACAAGAGTTACAGACTCTGGGAACTGCTGTATCGGTAACCGATAGCTTCCTATGGCTGCCATTTTGCTTAAGGGAGTCATGTGACTATGCCTGAAAAGTGATTTAGTCATGTGATACATGTTGTGTCCATACTGAACTATATTTAGCTGAGTACAAGCTAGAACATAGACCAAAGACACAAATGTAAACACTCCACACTTCCACATCTCAGACATATTGTGTTTAACGTTCGCAACATGTTCACACTACTTGTACAGTAATCATCCAAGCAGTAATATAATGTCCTTAACTGTTTTTCCTCTTGCTTATTTTGTAATTTAATCAGATAGATATTTTGTATGTTATAAAGTCTGTTATTGTAAATATTTTAGTACCTTTTCGAACACAAAAATAGCATCGAGAAATAATATCTTTTGTGGCACATGTACTGAACCTCCAACCTCTGAATAATAGCTGTACAGAAGTTCTAAAAGTCAGCAATAGGGGGTGTCATTTAAAGTACAGAGTTCTGAAGATGATTGAATTTGTTAATGATATACATAGAGCAATTTTTTTTGTGATGATATGATAAGGAATACCGGTATATAAATTCATCAGAAGCATGAACAGAATTAAAAGAAAATTAACAAGGTGGTAACACAGATCTCATCAAGAGATTCATACAGATAAAGGCTAATTAGTGATTGGCTCTGCTTTCATATTAATGTGAAAATAAATACCAAATTTAAGTGATTTACAGTGTATTGAAATATGCTTTTGAATTCTTTTGACTTTTTACTTAATTGTAGTCACCAGCCTCTGATGGTTGGAGTTCCTGGGGTAACTGGGGGTCATCCTTGATGAGTGTAGCATCACATTCAGTATCCACCTTCACCAGTCAAGTTGGTACGTACAGTAAAACACAGACACTAATGTACTGGTGATGTTATTTTTGTACAAGTGATGTATGTGTACATGTGTAGTGTATAAACACAGGTGGTGTTTTTTTGTAAACAGGTGATGTTGTATGTGTACAGATGGTGATGTATGTATACAGGTGGTGTTGTATGTGTACAGGTGGTATTGTATGTGTACAGATGATATTGTAAGTAAAGTGATCTTGTATGTATACATGTGGTGTTGTATGTGTACAGGTGGAATTGTATGTGTACAGATGGTGATGTATGTGTACAGGTAATGTTGTATGTATATAGGTGATGTTGTATGTGTACAGGTGGTGTTGTATGTATACAGGTGATGTTGTATGTATACAGGTGATGTTGTATGTATATAGGTGATGTTGTATGTGTACAGGTGTTGTTGTATGTATACAGGTGATGTTGTATGTGTACAGGTGGTGTTGTATGTGTACAGATGGTGATGTATGTATACAGGTGATGTTGTATGTGTACAAATGGTGATGTATATGTACAGGTGATGTTGTATGTGTACAGATGGTAATGTATGTGTACAGGTGATGTTGTATGTGTACAGATGGTGATGTATGTGTACAGGTGGTGTTGTATGTGTACAGGTGATGTTGTATGTATACAGGTGATGTTGTATGTGTACAGGTGGTATTGTATGTATACAGGTGATGTTGTATGTGTACAGGTGGTGTGGTATGTATACAGGTGATGTTGTATGTGTACAGGTGGTGTTGTATGTGTACAGGTGGTGTTGTATGTATACAGGTGGTGTTGTATGTATACAGGTGATGTAGGTGTACAGGTGGTGTTGTACAGGTGGTATTGTATGTATACAGGTGATGTTGTATGTATACAGGTGGTGTTGTATGTATACAGGTGATGTTGTATGTGTACAGGTGGTGTTGTATGTATACAGGTGATGTTGTATGTGTACAGGTGGTGTTGTTTGTGTACAGGTGGTGTTGTATGTATACAGGTGGTGTTGTATGTAAACAGGTGATGTAGGTGTACAGGTGATGTTGTACAGGTGGTATTGTATGTATACAGGTGATGTTGTATGTGTACAGGTGGTGTTGTATGTATACAGGTGATGTTGCATGTGATCAGGTGGTGTTGTATGTATACAGGTGATGTTGTATGTGTACAGGTGGTGTTGTATGTGTACAGCTGGTGTTGTAAATGTACAGGTGTTGTTGTATGTGTACAGGTGATGTTGTATGTATACAGGTGATGTTGTATGTGTACAGGTGGTGTTGTATGTATACAGGTGATGTTGTATGTGTACAGGTGGTGTTGTATGTATACAGGTGATGTTGTATGTATACAGGTGGTGTTGTATGTATACAGATGGTGTTGTATGTGTACAGGTGGTGTTGTATGTATACAGGTGATGTTGTATGTGTACAGGTGGTGTTGTATGTATACAGATGGTGTTGTATGTATACAGGTGATGTTGTATGTATACAGGTGATGTTGTATGTGTACAGGTGGTGTTGTAATTGGAGGTAGTTATGATCTTGGTATTTTATCTATAGCAACAATATTTTGATGTAACTTGCTGTAGTTATGTTTTTTGGCTATGTAGAGTACTTATTTCATGGCGTTGTTGTGTATAGAACACTATGTCATGAGAGACACCCATTATATTATTGTTACAGAGGACGGGTTCAACACACTGGTTGATGCTGTTGAGACCAGCATGGGGGCACCATCACCAGAAGAGCTAGCAGAGATGAAGAGGAAGGCCAAAGCTGAATCAGAGGCCCCAGAAAACACAAGCATGGAACGAGAAAGTAAGGACTGAAAGAGAATTTCATCTGTCATTTAAAAAGGAAAAAAGGGAGTATCTTTACTGTATATTTACATACTTGTCCTTACTTTGCAGTCTCAGAAAAAGAGGCCCAGGAAAACGATGAAAAGACAAAAGAAAGTAAAAATGAGATGAAGAAGGAAGATAATGCAGAGAGCCATAAAGAGGAGCAAACAAAAGGTGGATGGTTCCAGTCCTTAGCTGATCAAGTTGGTATGATCTAGTGTTATTCTATCAAGCTGAGACTTGTAGGCTAATGCATGTATGTAACACAATCTTAGTTATATATCCTTATGGTTATCAAACACCAAAAAGGGCGAAAAATGACCGAGGTAAATGATAAGAGGCACATTTTGTCACAACAAAATTATATTTTTGGGGTCTTTAAATAAAAACAGAGTTCACTGTGTTTTAACATGTTAAAGAGGTCCCAATGTCTACCTATTACAGAGGTCACAATGTCATTACCTCTTATAGAGATGACAGTGTCATTTCCTGTTATAGAGGTGATAGTGTCATTTCCTGTTGTAGAGATCACAGTGTCATTACCTGTTATAGAGGTGACAGTGTCATTTCCTGTTATAGAGATCACAGTGTCATTACCTGTTATAGATGTGACAGTGTCATTTCCTGTTACAGAGATCACAGTGTCATTTCCTGTTATAGAGGTGACAGTGTCATTTCCTGTTATAGAGATCACAGTGTCATTACCTGTTATAGAGGTGACAGTGTCATTTCCTGTTATAGAGATCACAGTGTCATTACCTGTTATAGAGGTGACAGTGTCATTTCCTGTTATAGAGATCACAGTGTCATTACCTGTTATAGAGGTCACAGTGTCATTTCCTGTTATAGAGATCACAGTGTCATTACCTGTTATAGAGGTGACAGTCTCATTTCCTGTTATAGAGGTGACAGTCTCATTTCCTGTTAGAGATGACAGTGTCATTTCCTGTTATAGAGATCAAAGTGTCATTTCCTGTTATAGAGATGACAGTCTCATTTCCTGATATAGAGATGACAATCTCATTTCCTGTAAGAGGAACAATTTGTTGTTATGAAGGTGACATTAACTTTTCTTGTAGCTATTAAAGGTAAATTCTCTCATATCAGATAAAATACTGTTACTTATTCAGGCGATGGGTTTAACTCTCTGGTTGATGCTGTTGAGACCAGCATGGGGGCACCATCACCAGAAGAGCTAGCAGAGATGAAGAGGAAGGCCAAAGCTGAATCAGAGGCCCCTGAAAACACAAACACGGAGAGAGAAAGTAAGATACATAGCACATTTTAACAATATATGTCATTTTAAGCCACAGATATGAAACAATGTTGTGGTATGACACTTTTGTATTTGTTATAAATTTACAGCGGCAGTAGAAGTTGGTCAGGAGGGAAAGGGAGATAAACAAGAGGAGGAAAAGACAGCTGACAGCGAGATGAATCCTGGAGGAGCAGATCAAGGGAACAGCTGGTTTTCATCATGGGGAATGTCAGGCTTGACCTCAGTGGTACAGAACACCACCAACATGGTACAGAACACGGTTAGTACTTTAAACTTGAAATAATTAGTGTTCTTATCTTCACTGACCTGTCAACTTCAATACGCACAGGTTTATTGCCATAGATTTTAGAAGTTTATTTGTTTCCAAAACTTTCTCACAAAGTGTATGTATGCCAGTAAAATAAGTATCCCCTGAGTCACAAAGTCTAATATTACTGAATAGAACTCACCAATAGATGGAAGAGTGCCCATCTTTCTCTGATGTTTAAAATTACATACAATAAAATTAAAACACCAGTCCAGACACTCACGAACTCAGATTCTGATTCCCTACTGCCTACCCTGTCTCTTTCCTCTCACTCTCTACAACACCAGTACAGTAAAATCCATCTCTGTCCCATCCCCTTTCTCCCACTGTCTACACCACAGTACAGTCAACTCCATCTCTATCCCATCCCCTTTCTCCCACTGTCTACACCACAGAACAGTCAACTCCATAATCCCATCCCCTTTCTCCCACTGTCTACACCACAGTACAGTCAACTCCATCTCTATCCCATCCCCTTTCTCCCACTGTCTACACCACAGAACAGTCAACTCCATAATCCCATCCCCTTTCTCCCACTGTCTACACCACAGAACAGTCAACTCCATCTCTATCTCATCCCCTTTCTCCCACTGTCTACACCACAGAACAGTCAACTCCATCTCTATCTCATCCCCTTTCTCCCACTGTCTACACCACAGAACAGTCAACTCCATCTCTATCCCATCCCCTTTCTCCCACTGTCTACACCACAGAACAGTCAACTCCATCTCTATCCCATCCCCTTTCTCCCACTGTCTACACCACAGAACAGTCAACTCCATCTCTATCCCATCCCCTTTCTCCCCTTTCTCCCACTGTCTACACCACAGAACAGTCAACTCCATCTCTATCCCATCCCCTTTCTCCCACTGTCTACACCACAGAACAGTCAACTCCATCTCTATCTCATCCCCTTTCTCCCACTGTCTACACCACAGAACAGTCAACTCCATCTCTATCCCATCCCCTTTCTCCCACTGTCTACACCACAGAACAGTCAACTCCATCTCAACTCCATCTCTATCTCTATCCCATCCCCTTTCTCCCACTGTCTACACCACAGAACAGTCAACTCCATCTCTATCTCATCCCCTTTCTCCCACTGTCTACACCACAGAACAGTCAACTCCATCTCTATCTCATCCCCTTATTCCCACTGTCTACGCCACAGAACAGTCAACTCCATCTCTATCCCATCCCCTTTCTCCCACTGTCTACACCACAGAACAGTCAACTCCATCTCTATCTCATCCCCTTTCTCCCACTGTCTACACCACAGAACAGTCAACTCCATCTCTATCTCATTCCCTTTCTCCCACTGTCTACAACACAGAACAGTCAACTCCATTTCTATCTCATCCCCTTTCTCCCACTGTCTACACCACAGAACAGTCAACTCCACCTCTATCCCATCCCCCTTCTTCCACCGTCTACAACGTAGACTGTGAATGGAATTGTTTTGAGCCTTGAGATTTTGCAGTTAGGAACATAAAGTCTGTAGTATACTGTGAACTTACTTAGATGTTGACCTGGTCCCTAATTAGATGTTGTGCTTGTTTGGTAGAGTAAAACCTTGGTGACTGGGAGTTTGGATGTTTTGGAAACCATTGGTAAAAAGACATATGATGTCATCAAAGACCATGACCCTGGTCTTCGTAAGACAAAGGAAGTGTTGTTTCACCGTGGAGATAAACCAAATCTTTCCCAGATTCTGCGAGAAGCTAAAGAGGATTCGGCTAAGCGTATTGAGATAGAAAAAGAATCAGAAGAAGCACAGAAGGCTCATTTTGGGTTTATGTTTGATGAATATCAAGGTAAGTTTAGAGATGAGTCACTATGGGTGTATGCATGATGAATATCAAGGTAAATTCAGAAATGAGTCACCTTGGGTTTATGTTTGATGAATATCAAGGTAAATTTAGAGATGAGTCACCTTGGGTTTATGTTTGATGAATATCAAGGTAAATTTAGAGATGAGTCACTTTGGGTTTATGTTTGATGAATATCAAGGTAAATTTAGAGATGAGTCACTATGGGTTTATGTTTGATGAATATCAAGGTAAATTTAGAGATGAGTCACTTTGGGTTTATGTTTGATGAATATCAAGGTAAGTTTAGAGATGAGTCACCTTGGGTTTATGTTTGATGAATATCAAGGTAAGTTTAGAGATGAGTCACCTTGGGTTTATGTTTGATGAATATCAAGGTAAGTTTAGAGATGAGGCACCTTGGGTTTATGTTTGATGAATATCAAGGTAAGTTTAGAGATGAGTCACCTTGGGTTTATGTTTGATGAATATCAAGGTAAGTTTAGAGATGAGTCACCTTGGGTTTATGTTTGATGAATATCAAGGTAAGTTTAGAGATGAGTCACCTTGGGTTTATGTTTGATGAATATCAAGGTAAGTTTAGAGATGAGTCACTGTGGGTTTATGTTTGATGAATATCAAGGTAAATTTAGAGATGAGTCACTATGGGTGTATGCGTGATGAATATCAAGGTAAATTCAGAAATGAGTCACTGTGGGTTTATGTTTGATGAATATCAAGGTAAGTTTAGAGATGAGTCACCTTGGGTTTATGTTTGATGAATATCAAGGTAAATTTAGAGATGAGTCACTTTGGGTTTATGTTTGATGAATATCAAGGTAAGTTTAGAGATGAGTCACCTTGGGTTTATGTTTGATGAATATCAAGGTAAGTTTAGAGATGAGGCACCTTGGGTTTATGTTTGATGAATATCAAGGTAAGTTTAGAGATGAGTCACTTTGGGTTTATGTTTGATGAATATCAAGGTAAGTTTAGAGATGAGTCACCTTGGGTTTATGTTTGATGAATATCAAGGTAAGTTTAGAGATGAGGCACCTTGGGTTTATGTTTGATGAATATCAAGGTAAGTTTAGAGATGAGGCACCTTGGGTTTATGTTTGATGAATATCAAGGTAAGTTTAGAGATGAGTCACCTTGGGTTTATGTTTGATGAATATCAAGGTAAGTTTAGAGATGAGTCACCTTGGGTTTATGTTTGATGAATATCAAGGTAAGTTTAGAGATGAGTCACTGTGGGTTTATGTTTGATGAATATCAAGGTAAATTTAGAGATGAGTCACTATGGGTTTATGTTTAATGAATATCAAGGTAAATTTAGAGATGAGTCACCTTGGGTTTGTGTTATGTTTTTGTTGCGATTTTGCTTTGACATTACCTCCCAAATATCACTCGTAATTAAAGAACTGAAAAACAACATGTTTTCTGCAAGTATTACAGACAAGTGGACATGCATGGAGACATTTTCTATTGTCACTCTCTGTCCCATGTAAGACAATATAATAGGCATATCAATGATCTAGATATAGATTTCAAACATGTATCTACATGTCTTGTTTGTAGGGTAGCCAACTTAGGTTATTTTACCTCAATTCAGGCCTAGCTCACCTGGAGGTTAGTTTGTAGGGTATAGACATTTGAGTCTATATTTATCTTTATTCAGGCCTAGTTTACCTGGAGGTTAGTTTGTAGGATATAGACATTTGAGTCTATATTTATTAGCCCACCATCTATCTAATAGATGGTGGGTTATTCAAATCGCCCTGCGTCCGTGGTCCGTCCGTCCGTCCGTCCGTAAACAATTCTTGTTATCGCTATTTCTGGAAAAGTACTGGATGGATCTTTCTCAAATTTCATATACAGGTTCCCCTTGGTCCCTAGTTGTGCATTGTACCTTTTTTGGACTAATTCGAATTCAAGATGGCCGACAGGTGGCCATCTTGGATTTTGGAAGTAAAACTTTGTTACCGCTATTTCTTGGAAAGTTCCCGATGGATCTTTCTCAAATTTCATATACAGTTTCCCCTTGGTCCCTAGTTGTGCATTGTACCTTTTTTGGACTGATTCGAATTCAAGATGGCCGACAGGTGGCCATCTTGGATTTTGGAAGTAAAACTTTGTTACCGCTATTTCTTGGAAAGTTCCCGATGGATCTTTCTCAAATTTCATATACAGTTTCCCCTTGGTCCCTAGTTGTGCATTGTACCTTTTTTGGACTGATTCGAATTCAAGATGGCAGACAGGCAGCCATCTTGAATTTTGGAAGTAAAAGTTTGTTACTGCTATTTCTTGGAAAGTACTGGATGGATCTTTCTCAAATTTCATATACAGGTTCCCCTTGGTTCCTAGTTGTGCACTGTACCTTTTTTGAACTGATTCGAATTCAAGATGGCCGACAGGCAGCCATCTTGGATTTTGGAAGTAAAAGTTTGTTACTGCTATTTCTTGGAAAGTACTGGATGGATCTTTCTCAAATTTCTATGCAGTTTCCCCTTGTTCCCTAGTTGTGCATTGTACCTTTTTTGGACTGATTCAAATTCAAGATGGCAGACAGGTGGCCATCTTGGATTTTGAATGTAAAAGTTTGTTACTGCTATTTCTTGAAAAGTACTGGATGGATCTTTCTCAAATTTCATATGCAGGTTCTCTTTGGTTCCAAGTTGTGCATTGTACCTTTTTGGACTGATCCGAAATCAAGATGGCTGACAGGCAGCCATCTTGGATTTTGAGAGTAAAATCTTGTTACTGCTATATCTGAGGAAATCCTGGATGGATACTTCTGATATTTCATAGATATTGGTTTCCCTTCATCCCTAGTTGTGCATTGTACCTTTTTTGGACTGATTTGAAATCAAGTTGGCCCACAGGCAGCCATCTTACAACAGTAATACAGCACAAGCATATTGTCCATTATCCACCTGTAACTGACTGCTATCTAATAATACTTTGGGATCTTTTTCAAATGATATTTGCTAATAGGTGCTTAATAAAAATATCTTGTGCCATCATTGAGTACATTCAATGAAGACCAGTTCATGAACATTTACAACACCTGGTAACAAACAAAAAAAAAATAAACAAATCTTCAAGAACTGAAAACAGATCCTCAAATGGTGGTTTGTAGGATATAGATCCCTTGGGGTCTATGTTTACCTTTATTCAGGCCTAGCTCACCTGGAGGTTAGTTTGTAGGGTATAGACATTTGAGTCTATGTTTACCTTTATTCAGGCCTAACTCACCTGGAGGTTAGTTTGTAGGATATAGACATTTGAGTCTATGTTTGCCTTTATTCAGGCCTAGCTCACCTGGAGGCTCTAGAGATCCTGTCCAATCAGTGTGAGAAGAAAGTTCAGACACTTCTGACATCAATGCCAGCCGACACACTTGCCGACATCAAGGCAGACCTCATCAGAATCAAACAGGTGTTTGAAAGAGACGAAAATAGTGAAGATGGTTTGTAGCTTTTGAAATGTTTGTTTTAATCCTTGAAGTTTTTATTTAGTTGTGAAAATGCTATTTTTGTATTTAGACAATCCGGTACAACTTTCATGTAAACTTCTTATACACAGGCTATTTACCAACCCTTTAGTTGATGTATGTATTTCAGAAGAGACAGAGGACCAAGACTTTGTGAAGCTGGTGACTGATGACTTAGCAAACCTTGGTCTAGGAACTGATCCTGGAAAACTAAAAAGAGTAAGTCAGGTTTGTCTCCACTAAACCTTGGTCTAGGAACTGATCCTGGAAAACTAAAAAGGGTAAGTCAGGTTTGTCTCCACTAAACCTTGGTCTAGGAACTGATCCTGGAAAACTGGAAAGGGTAAGTCAGGTTTGTCTCCACTAAACCTTGGTCTAGGAACTGATCCTGGAAAACTAAACAGGGTAAGTCAGGTTTGTCTCCACTAAACCTTGGTCTAGGAACTGATCCTGGAAAACTAAAAAGGGTAAGTCAGGTTTGTCTCCACTAAACCTTGGTCTAGGAACTGATCCTGGAAAACTAAACAGGGTAAGTCAGGTTTGTCTCCACTAAACCTTGGTCTAGGAACTGATCCTGGAAAACTAAAAAGGGTAAGTCAGGTTTGTCTCCACTAAACCTTTGTCTAGGAACTGATCCTGGAAAACTAAACAGGGTAAGTCAGGTTTGTCTCCACTAATCTTGGTTTAGGAACTGATCCTGGAAAACTAAACAGGGTAAGTCAGGTTTGTCTCCACTAAACCTTGGTCTAGGAACTGATCCTGGAAAACTGGAAAGGGTAAGTCAGGTTTGTCTCCACTAAACCTTGGTCTAGGAACTGATCCTGGAAAACTGGAAAGGGTAAGTCAGGTTTGTCTCCACTAAACCTTGGTCTAGGAACTGATCCTGGAAAACTAAACAGGGTAAGTCAGGTGTGTCTCCACTAAACCTTGGTCTAGGAACTGATCCTGGAAAGGGTAAGTCAGGTTTGTCTCCACTAAACCTTGGTCTAGGAACTGATCCTGGAAAACTAAACAGGGTAAGTCAGGTGTGTCTCCACTAAACCTTGGTCTAGGAACTGATCCTGGAAAACTAAAAAGGGTAAGTCAGGTTTGTCTCCACTAAACCTTGGTCTAGGAACTGATCCTGGAAAACTGGAAAGGGTAAGTCAGGTGTGTCTCCACTAAACCTTGGTCTAGGAACTGATCCTGGAAACCTGGAAAGGGTAAGTCAGGTGTGTCTCCACTAAACCTTGGTCTAGGAACTGATCCTGGAAAACTAAAAAGAGTAAGTCAGGTGTGTCTCCACTAAACCTTGGTCTAGGAACTGATCCTGGAAAACTGGAAAGGGTAAGTCAGGTTTGTCTCCACTAAACCTTGGTCTAGGAACTGATCCTGGAAAACTGGAAAGGGTAAGTCAGGTGTGTCTCCACTAAAACTTGGTCTAGGAACTGATCCTGGAAAACTAAAAAGAGTAAGTCAGGTGTGTCTCCACTAAACCTTGGTCTAGGAACTGATCCTGGAAAACTGGAAAGGGTAAGTCAGGTTTGTCTCCACTAAACCTTGGTCTAGAAACTGATCCTGGAAAACTAAACAGGGTAAGTCAGGTGTGTCTCCACTAAACCTTGGTCTAGGAACTGATCCTGGAAAACTAAACAGTGTAAGTCAGGTTTGTCTCCACTAAACCTTGGTCTAGGAACTGATCCTGGAAAACTAAACAGGGTAAGTCAGGTGTGTCTCCACTAAACCTTGGTCTAGGAACTGATCCTGGAAAACTAAAAAGGGTAAGTCAGGTTTGTCTCCACTAAACCTTGGTCTAGGAACTGATCCTGGAAAACTAAAAAGGGTAAGTCAGGTTTGTCTCCATTAAACCTTGGTCTAGGAACTGATCCTGGAAAACTAAACAGGGTAAGTCAGGTTTGTCTCCACTAAACCTTGGTCTAGGAACTGATCCTGGAAAACTAAAAAGTGTAAGTCAGGTTTGTCTCCATTAAACCTTGGTCTAGGAACTGTTCCTGGAAAACTAAACAGGGTAAGTCAGGTTTGTCTCCATTAAACCTTGGTCTAGGAACTGATCCTGGAAAACTAAAACACGGTAAGTCAGGTTTGTCTCCACTAGACCTTGGTCTAGGAACTGATCCTGGAAAACTAAACAGGGTAAGTCAGGTTTGTCTCCACTAAACCTTGGTCTAGGAACTGATCCTGGAAAACTAAAAAGGGTAAGTCAGGTTTGTCTCCACTAAACCTTGGTCTAGGAACTGATCCTGGAAAACTAAACAGTGTAAGTCAGGTTTGTCTCCACTAAACCTTGGTCTAGGAACTGATCCTGGAAAACTAAACAGGGTAAGTCAGGTGTGTCTCCACTAAACCTTGGTCTAGGAACTGATCCTGGAAAACTAAAAAGGGTAAGTCAGGTTTGTCTCCACTAAACCTTGGTCTAGGAACTGATCCTGGAAAACTAAAAAGGGTAAGTCAGGTTTGTCTCCACTAAACCTTGGTCTAGGAACTGATCCTGGAAAACTAGACAGGGTAAGTCAGGTTTGTCTCCACTAAACCTTGGTCTAGGAACTGATCCTGGAAAACTAAACAGGGTAAGTCAGGTTTGTCTCCACTAAACCTTGGTCTAGGAACTGATCCTGGAAAACTGGAAAGGGTAAGTCAGGTTTGTCTCCATTAAACCTTGGTCTAGGAACTGATCCTGGAAAACTAAACAGGGTAAGTCAGGTTTGTCTCCACTAAACCTTGGTCTAGGAACTGATCCTGGAAAACTAAACAGGGTAAGTCAGGTTTGTCTCCACTAAACCTTGGTTTAGGAACTGATCCTGGAAAACTAAACAGGGTAAGTCAGGTTTGTCTCCACTAAACCTTGGTCTAGGAACTGATCCTGGAAAACTGGAAAGGGTAAGTCAGGTTTGTCTCCACTAAACCTTAGTTTAGGAACTGATCCTTGAAAACTAAACAGGGTAAGTCAGGTTTGTCTCCACTAAACCTTGGTTTAGGAACTGATCCTGGAAAACTAAAAAGGGTAAGTCAGGTTTGTCTCCACTAAAACTTGGTCAGGGTACTTAACCCTGGCAAACTAGGTTTGTTGCTGATAATATGTGTATCCAATTTGGTTTTGATTAATAAAATCTGTTTCTGATTGGATCATGAACAAATAACTATTTATATGTTAATGTAGAGATAATTTGTATTTATGCAGTCATTTATATCTGAATTTAACAAAGAAAAACCTTAAATTCTAAAGGTTTCCTATAAGGTCAAGATGTATCTTTGTCTGGTTATGCTTTTGCTAATTTTCTGATGTATTTTCTTGTACATTTTTGTTATGTACTAGTACCCTATGGGGTTGTGCCACCTGGAGTGATTTTGTAATTTTGTCCCTTTTGAAGGGAGTTATGTCCCTTCTTGAAAAAACAACTGTGGATATGCATTCACTAATCCTTCAATGTATTTGTTTTACATTGTGTAAAATGCCAGTACCATGTGTTGTTGTCCTTTTCATAATTTTGCATTTCAAACCTCTTTAAATAAAAAAAAAAAAATCTTTACTTTGTTGTGTTAGCCTCAAGCAATGTTGTGTTTTGACTCTTTTTAAAAGAATAATGCACCCCTGTAGATTAATGATCAAACAATCTTGTTTAGATCTTCTACCACTCTGCTCATTATCTCAAGTACTCAATCTTGGCAAATTTGGAAGGTACACTTATTAATTCCTTGGTGACAGATCCAGTTAGTCCTTGGTTTCCTTGGTAATTGGGTACCCAGAGAACTTGATGTACGGTATAAGTTAAACACACAGCAGACTGAGTAGAAGTACAGTTGGTATTTATTTTGTATACACATATGGCTGTATGAACTGGCTAGGAGAAAGCTCTTTCCACAGATAACCACAAATATATAAACAAACAATGTGGATTGATTCCTGTACATTTTGTCAGATGTCGCCCTCATTAAATGTTTACTTTTGACACTTGAAGCACACCTGCAAATAATTATCGTGGTTGACTAAGTACTTGAAAGCTTCCAATCCTCATCATCAGTTTTAAGTTTGATACTGTGTCAGTCATCTGTCGGTGCTTTCAGCGCTTAAAGAAATAGGTACAAGTGTATTGATTGTTTTAAGAAATATTTGTGTTCTCTCAGCTGATACTAACAGTACAGCTGGATGACTTTGGGTGTGTCACCTCATCTCTGTAAGTGTAGCCAAACCTTGAAACTAATTGATGGGATATTTTCTCTGTTTCAGAGCCATGAAAAAATCCGCCAAAGTATCAGTGAGTTGTGTACAAAGAAGGAGGAAGAGGAAGGAGAGCGGGCCAAGCCCAAGGTGCTTTATTGCGGGATTTTCTATTTGTGATGATGTGGTCACTTGTAGTGTAAACCGAAGTACTGCAAAAAAAGCTTTATTAATTGTCTCATTATATTTGATTGGAAATCAAACTTCGGATGAGGAATCATTATTCATGTATTCATATATCAGTAAATCATGACAGGATTAGGGGAAAAAAAGTTTGTCAGTTTTTTCCAGTTTCTGATGAAACATTGAAGTTCTGTAGTATAGATTTTATTTCTATTTTAATTATTTCTTCACACAATCAGTAATTTTTACAAAAGAGTTGTATCTTTGTGTTGAGTTTGACTTTAAAGAGTTGTCTGTCTTTTGTTGTAGGCTGTTCACCAGGTGGCTATACAGTCACTTGCAGAACTGACATCAAAGTCAGTGGAACAGTTCCATAAAGCAGGGGAGCTAATCCTGCTACAACAACACTCAGATAAACAGTGTCTGGAGCGTGCCACCAGTCTTTCTAAGTGAGTAATCTCCTCAACAACTTTTTGTGGTCAATGGAACTGGCTGTAAGTGTTTGCCTTGTCAGTTTGTTTGTAAAACATCCTGGTTTAACTCTCAGCTCCATTTCTATGATACTATTCTCACTGTCACCAAACCTTGTAAATCATCCTCAAACTTTCCTGTTTCCAATTATGATGAACAAATCCTCACTCACAGTCTTACCATGTTGTGAAGAAAATCTCAGAAACAAAAACAAATATATAGGGAATACATGGTCAGTGTCTTAAGATATAAGCTGCATGTTGGCAAGGGTGAAGAACAACTAAGTGGTGAGCCGCTTTTGTCTTTCTGTCCTGAGCCAAAATACAGCTGATATTTTAAGGCACTGACCATGTATTCTATTTATCCTGCAACGTTGATTGAAAGTGAAACAGTTTTGTTGTTCTATCTCTGTTTACCTGATGTTGACGTTACGCTGAGCATGACAGACGACAAAAGAATTGCTCCATGCAGAAATATAAATCCATACTTCAGCCAATGTACTAGCAATTTTATGCATTTTCATAAATCAACTTGTTATTCACAATATGTAAAATTGCTCATTTCAACAACTATTTATATTTCTAAATGTAATATTAAAGTATATTCTGAAAGTGATTCTGTCAGATTAGGTCACAGCCGAATACAGCAAAAGTATATGTAGCAGGTATATTCTGACAATGGCAGAATAAAATATATATACATGTAGATACTATTTAGCAGGAATTGTATGTAGACTTACATTATTTACAGTCTAACAAATGTCCTGTGTACAGAAGTGGGAATTTTATCTGTGAGATTTACATCCATCCTCAACACAATGGCTGTGAGTATCCTTGTCAAAATTTCTAAAAAGCCTTGTAACAGAAAGGAGTGAAACCTTTGTTAAAAACCTCCGACGTTCTGAACATTTGATTAGCCACAATTTCATCATTTACAATCAATTTACTTTACAGATACATTTCAGCAATGTTTTACTTTTTCAAATTTTGAGTTTAAATTTGAAGTATTTCATTTTACAAATGTTTTTTTGTACAGTATTGTTTGGTCTAAAGTTACATTACACTGTTACTAGTTAAAGTCAAGTTTTTGGTTTAACAGGGGGAGGGGGACAAGGATAGCAGTGATATCAACACTTTGGTCACCAATATCTACCTGGAGGTAAGGTTCCATTCTGTATATCTTCATGTTTTCCAGGAAGTAAATTTCCATTCTGTATATCTTCATGTTTTCCTGGAAGTAAATTTCCATTCTGTATATCTTCATGTTTTCCTGGAAGTAAATGTCCATTCTGTATATCTTCATGTTTTCCTGGAAGTAAATGTCCATTCTGTATATCTGTATGTTTTCCTGGAAGTAAATGTCCATTCTGTATATCTTCATGTTTTCCAGGAAGTAAATTTCCATTCTGTATATCTGTATGTTTTCCTGGAAGTAAATTTCCATTCTGTATATCTGTATGTTTTCCTGGAAGTAAATGTCCATTCTGAATACTATATGTGTTATTTTACTTAAGTCACTTATGTTAACCTAGAAGTAAAGTTCCATTCTGTTTCAGTGTATTCAGATTTGCCTGCATATTTAGGTGCATCCACATCTTCATTCTTTTAATCAAATTTATTGATAAATGGTGATCACAAAATATATGTATAAGAAAACAATACAGTACATGTATAACTAAACATAAATAAATCAACTTTCTGTTACAGGCAGGAAATAGTAGTACTTACATACAGGACGCCTTCCAATTACTACTACCATGTCTACAGGAAGTCACAATACAGACTGCTCTACAACACAACCACTGAACCATACAGTCTACAGGAAGTCACAATACAGACTGCTCTACAACACAACCACTGAACCATACAGTCTACAGGAAGTCACCCAGTCTACAGGAAGTCACCATACAGACTGCTCTACAACACAACCACTGAACCATACAGTCTACAGGAAGTCACCCAGTCTACAGGAAGTCACAATACAGACTGCTCTACAACACAACCACTGAACCATACAGGGTACAGGAAGTCACCATACAGACTGCTCTACAACACAACCACTGAACCATACAGTGTACAGGAAGTCACCATACAGACTGCTCTACAACACAACCACTGAACCATACAGTGTACAGGAAGTCACAATACAGACTGCTCTACAACACAACCACTGAACCATACAGTGTACAGGAAGTCACAATACACACTGCTCTACAATACAACCACTGAACCATACAGTGTACAGGAAGTCACAATACACACTGCTCTACAACACAACCACTGAACCATACAGTGTACAGGAAGTCACAATACACACTGCTCTACAACACAACCACTGTACCATACAGTGTACAGGAAGTCACAATACACACTGCTCTACAACACAACCACTGAACCATACAGTGTACAGGAAGTCACCATACAGACTGGTCTACAACACAACCACTGAACCATACAGTGTACAGGAAGTCACCATACAGACTGCTCTACAACACAACCACTGAACCATACAGTCTACAGGAAGTCACAATACAGACTGCTCTACAATACGACCACTGAACCATACAGTCTACAGGAAGTCACCCAGTCTACAGGAAGTCACCATACAGACTGCTCTACAACACAACCACTGAACCATACAGTGTACAGGAAGTCACCATACAGACTGGTCTACAACACAACCACTGAACCATACAGTGTACAGGAAGTCACCATACAGACTGGTCTACAACACAACCACTGAACCATACAGTGTACAGGAAGTCACCATACAGACTGCTCTAAAAAAACAACCACTGAACCATACAGTGTACAGGAAGTCACCATACAGACTGCTCTACAACACAACCACTGAACCATACAGTGTACAGGAAGTCACAATACAGACTGCTCTACAACACGACCACTGAACCATACAGTCTACAGGAAGTCACCCAGTCTACAGGAAGTCACCATACAGACTGCTCTACAGCACAACCACTGAACCATACAGTGTACAGGAAGTCACCATACAGACTGGTCTACAACACAACCACTGAACCATACAGTGTACAGGAAGTCACCATACAGACTGGTCTACAACACAACCACTGAACCATACAGTGTACAGGAAGTCACCATACAGACTGCTCTAAAAAAAACCACTGAACCATACAGTGTACAGGAAGTCACCATACACAGACTGCTCTACAACATGACCAGTGAACCATACAGTCAACAGGAAGTCACCATACAGACCGTTCTACAACACAATCACTGAACCATACAGTCTACAGGAAGTCACCATACAGACTGCTCTACAACACAACCACTGAACCATACAGTGTACTGGAAGTCACCATACAGACTACTCTACAACACAACCACTGAACCATACAGTGTACAGGAAGTCACCATACAGACTGCTCTACAACACAACCACTGAACCATACAGTGTACAGGAAGTCACAATACAGACTGCTCTACAACACAACCACTGAACCATACAGTGTACAGGAAGTCACCATACAGACTACTCTACAACACAATCACTGATGTATAGTCAAAGTAATATTTTAGTAGTTTAAACAATGATGTAAAGAACAGTATGACTGAACATTGTTACACAGAGCAGTGTGTCTGAACATCAGTCTACAGACCAATATGTCAGAACATTGTTCCACACAGGAGTTTAAACTTTGTTTTCTTTTTTGAGTGCTATGTCAGAAAATCAGTGCAAGGCAGTGTCATATCAGACATCAATTCAGTGCTATAGAAGCCACTTGTACATAGTAGGATATATAGGACATCAGTAGCTGTATCCTAGTAGGTGAGCTTTTGTGTATATATAATTACAGGGATCAGGATAACAAATCATTTATCATGAACCAGTATTTTGTCATGTTCAATATGTAATATTTATTAGTTTTAGCTTATTGAAAATTTTGCTGAAGTTCTGACATTGGACTGAAATATTGTTAATGTGTATTTATTTTCAAACAGGTCATGAAAAAACGATGGATGGCATTTATGATTATATTTATACTCAACCTGATAATGAAAATGAAAAATAATAAAATTATCACTTCAATGGGTTTACATGGCGTCTGTCCCTCATCAACTTTTCCTGGACAAGACACAGTCAGTTTACATCATTTCTCTCCCTCATTAACATTTCTGGTTGAAACTTGTTGAGTTGGCCTGATATATAAACATCTTTCCTGATGCTGATTAAGAGAGTTTATGTGAATTCTTTCCATTCGTCAGTTTCCATTGTCATGACCCAGTGAGTTGATGTGGCATTTGTCCTTCATCAGCTTTTTCTGCCCTTGATCGGTGAATTTACATGGCGTCTTTCACTCATTAACTTTACCTGCCCTTGATCTGTGAATTTACATGGCGTCTGTCCCTCATCAACTTTACCTGCCCTTGATCTGTGAATTAATATGGCGTCTTTCCCTCATTATCATTACCTGCCCTTGATCGGTGAATTTACATGGCGTCTTTCCCTCATTATCATTACCTGCCCTTGATCGGTGAATTTACATGGCGTCTTTCCCTCATCAGCTTTACCTGCCCTTGACCTGTGAATTTTCATGGTTTCTATCCCTCATTAACTTTACCTGCCCTTGATCTGTGAATTTACATGGCGTCTGTCCCTCATTAACTTTACCTGCCCTTGATCTGTGAATTTACATGGCGTCTTTCACTCATTAACTTTACCTGCCCTTGATCGGTGAATTTACATGGCGTCTGTCCCTCATTAACTTTACCTGCCCTTGATCTGTGAATTTACATGGCGTCTGTCCCTCATTAACTTTACCTGCCCTTGATCTGTGAATTTACATGGCGTCTGTCCCTCATTAACTTTACCTGCCCTTGATCTGTGAATTTACATGGAGTCTTTCACTCATTAACTTTACCTGCCCTTGATCTGTGAATTTACATGGCGTCTGTCCCTCATTAACTTTACCTGCCCTTGATCTTTCCCTCATTAACTATCCTGTGGCTACTGTTGATTTATGGGTTTCTCTATCATATCATCTTTTTCTTGCCTTGACACTGTCAGTTGACATGGTGACTGTCCGTCACTCATTAACTTTACCTGCCTTGACACTGTCAGTTGACATGGTGACTGTCTGTCATCAACATTCGGTGCCTTGACACTGTCAGTTGACATGGTGACTGTCTGTTGATTTATGGGTTTCTCTATCATATCATCTTTTTCTTGCCTTGACACTGTCAGTTGACATGGTGACTGTCCGTCATCAACATTCGGTGCCTTGACACTGTCAGTTGACATGGTGACTGTCCGACATCAACATTCGGTGCCTTGACACTTGTATCAGTGTGTCAGCAGCAGGATGAGAACTGAATGAGGGATTTAGAATCAAGGTTATAGTTTATGTCACTATAGTTCAATCAAAAGTTCAGAAAAACAAGCACTGAAGGAATCCCACAGATATAAACGTCTGACAATTATTTTGGACTTTTTCAGTGTAGAACAAAACTAAACACAGCGTCGCAAACAACACATCCCATACAGTACCACATTGACTTAAGGGTAACAAAGAAGATGCCCAATTTTTTGCAGTTTTGTCTAATTTTTTGAAAGGATTTGACAAGGATTTTCTTAAAATAGCAACGGTGTCCTTGACCCTACAACCCTGTAACTTGTCCATAACGTTATGTTTTTCATAGGAATGTGAAGTTTGATTGAAATCCTCCCAGTAACAAAGTCACTAGACAAAGATTTTATAGAAAATAGCAGTAATGATAGCTCAACCTTATTTATTTTATTTTGGTCCTTTATATGAATGTTAAGTTTGATCAAAATCTCTCCAGGAATAGAGTCACAAGAGAGCTAACACGGATCATTTAAAAAAATAGTATCATTGACTTTGAACTATGAAACTGCGAGTGTTTCTGATTTTATGGCCCATTATAAGTGTGAAATTTTTTATCAAAATCCCATGAGAAATTTAGTCGTGAAAGCGTCAACAAGGATTTTATAAAAATGATAATGGTGACCTTGACCCTAGAGGTCTGTTACAATAATGTGCAGATTGCTCAAAATTCTTTAAGGATTGAAGTCGTTAGAGAGCTGATACGGATGATACATACAAAGGTTTATGTAATAGACCAGTGCTGATTGATAAGGTCACACATATTTAAGAATTTGGATGTTTGTGAACATATTGCATTATTTTTCAACATAATCCTCTTCAGTATCTATACACTTTTGTCAGTGATGTTTATGGGCATCATTGCCACTTTCAAAGAAGTCCTCTTATTGACCGTTCAGAAAGTCCTCCACTGCATGTATGAAGTCATATTCTGACCGAAAGTGGGTACCGGAAATGACCTTTGTCAATTTTGGAATTAGATGAAAGTCTGACAGAGGCAGATACTCAATCAATTCAAAGCCATAATTGTTAATGACAGCCATGGCAATGACAGACCTGTGGATAGGGGCATTGTCCAAGTTTTCCGCGGCATTTCAGTTCAATATTTGCACTTAACTGCCTAAGAAATGATGTATACTATTTTTTTGTCCATTTTGCAAATAATCTACCATCAGAATACCATCATCATCCCAGAGAAACCGAGGCTATAACTTTTCCAGCTAATGGAAAAATCTTTGCCTTATTTGGCAGGGGTGAACCAGGGTGCTTCCATTATTTAGATTGTTGTTTGGCCTCTGTGGTGAAATCCATAGTCACAAACCTCTGTGGAAAGTTAGTATAATCTGCCCCTAAAGGGTTCAGATTAGCACGCGACAAAGTCCGTTTGTTGTGCTTCTGACCAACTGTACCCAATGGGCTGAGGGCATTCTCATTGCAAGATCTTTCGTAAGAATGGAATGTAATCTTTCCTGTGAAATCCCAAATGTACTGGCTATATATCTTTCTGTCACTCGCCTGTCAACCATAATGATACCATGGTCTTTATTAAGCATTTTTGGGGTTGCAACAGTGACAAGCCTTCCAGAACGGGCGTCATCCCCAAGGCTCTGCCTGCACGCTTAAATTCAACCACTCACGATTTTCACTATAGCATATGAAGGGGCGTCATTCCCTAGTGTTACTACCATATCAGGATGGATATCCTTAGGTGCTAAACCTTTCCGATGCAAATATTGAGTCTCTGCTCTCTCAGCGATTTTGGCCATTTTACAAAAGTCACTTGCTTTGGTTACTTTAGAGTCCTACTTTTTCGATATAACCTGACCAAGACCAACTGATCACCAGTTCGGATACACAACCTTAGATAGTCAGGGAATAGTAGAGGTGGAAAAGGACATCACAGCTTAATTTCTTCAATATAATGCTCACAACCGATCAATCAGCCCTCGTAATATCAAGTGATGACAATGGCAGATATCATACCAGCTTTAATCCTATTGATTTGGAGTGTTATTAGTAATAACTGGCATTGATAGACCAATTGAGTAGCGTGAGTAGTTAACGAGGGAGATTCTGAGGGGCGATGATATTGATATCGTCCCAATCTTAAAGAAATGACCATGCTTATAGAAAAAGTATTGAACAGTATCATCTATTGGACAAGAGGCTGCTTAATGTAGTATTGCACTGGAAGAAGTCGTGCTCGCGAACAACTGATTGATAACATATTACTATAAATCAGTTATATGTAAATTTGGATCTTCTATTTATTAGGGACTTAGATATCGGATACAGCACGAGATAACGTCAATTTGATGAAGTATGCTTACTCCGCCAAGCTTTATTATAAGCCTGATGATTTTTTCCTTATTACGATTTTCTATTTCTAGATAGAAACATGTCTGCTTCCCCAACCTACGGTGTTAACGTGTCGCATTTGATTATTCAAGCTTGTACCCATTATTACGATTACTGTGCAAGATACCGAAAGCTGATTGATAAACTTACAGTTGTTAAAAATTGTAGTTTGGGGACATGTTTCCTTGTGTGATACGGTTATGGACCTGTTCGATGCTCCTGAGTTTGGACCTGTTCGATGCTCCTGAGTAACCCTAGTGGTTCAACTGTTGCGTACTTGGCCTCATTTGAGAACGTGACATTGGATTGACCAAGATTTACATGTTGGGTGTCGTGGATGAAGCAGAAGACGCTTATCTTCCTGAACACATGGTCTTATTCTCCTTGTACCTTCTCAGGGGTCTTCGCTTAAATATTAGATCACCTTATCTGAATTAAGACTTAATTGAAAAATCAGTTTTTTTATCGTCAATTTTATGTTCAGCACCAATTATCATATAGTTGTAATGCTAGACCAACCATCCATTGATATTCTCTTTAATTTCCAGTAATTCTGCTGTTGACAAGGATGAAATGATGAAAGCAGACACGCTCATATGACGGTCATTTATTCCTTCCCCAGCCTCACTGACGATTACCGCTTCCAATCTAGTCAATGAGATGATGATGGCGAACTAATGCTGTTCTACTTCATCTCATTACTGAGCCTTACATTTGTCAGTCGCCTATATTTATCATGGTTATCAGGATATTTGAAAAGAAGCATAGAATATCACATAAACAAATGAACGTAATTTAAAGGCTGGTCGGTGGATCCTTGGAATTCTTTAAAAAATATGTATTCGATTACGTCCATTTCTCGATGGAAGATAATTGATATTGCTTTATGAAGCAGAAGGTTAAGATACAGGCTTTGTAGAACTTCTAGTCGACCTAGTGATAAGAAAAAACTTTACAGAGGTGTAAAGGATAAAAAGAAAAAATGAGAAGATAAACGAGAATTACTGGGGTAGAGAAACATAGTTTAGGTAACATTATATCTAAAGAATCGGAAAATATGTAGATAAGGTTCTATATTTACCTCGATAACCAGACTTCTGTTATCTGGAATCACACTTGTGTCTGCAGACAAGGATCATCACACTGTCTTTTCAGTTAATACAACCATCATTATCATACAAAGTCCTCATTTTGAAATTAGTTAACATTGTTCTGTCGTCACGTAGATGCCTGTGTTATAAAACATAATAAAAACAACATGTTAACAGAATCATAATTCAGACAAGATCGA